TTTAAAATTTTTGCTTTAAGCTTGACCTATTTTGTGTTATTCCTTTCAGGGGATGCTTAGTAATGTGATTTTTTTGTGAGGATGGGACACCTCGGGTTTAAAGGGTTAATGTAATCCAAAACAAGGGGTAATCCACACTACACTGTAAAACCAAATAGTAAATCGTTGATAAAGGAATTGGGTTGTAATTACTCAAAAGAAATAAAAACGTTCATTCGCCTCCAATTTTTTGAGTAATTAGTATAAAAATGTAATTAAGTTTACAGCACTCAAATTCTTTCATTTGTTTTTGGCAGTGTACTCAAATAGTTTTAGTACAATCCCGTCTGACATCACACACGTGCTTATGTGCTCCGCCCTCAACTAGCTGCTGCAACTTTTTGAAAAGACGCCATGTTGTTGTTGCTCGCTGACTCGCCACGGATTAAATTTTTTTGAAATAAATTTGAAATGCGCGAAAGACTAAAAAAAATGTCATAGGAGGGGATATTTTTCGATCGCCTGTAGTGTTGCTTTCGTCAACGAAAATTATGACTAAATATAGTCGTCAACGAACCTTTATCACCTGACGAAAACGAGACGAGACGAGACGAAAATGCTGGTCATGTGACGATGACGATAATTAAATGTACAATGCAATATCGTTGACGAATAAAAATGAGACGAAATGTAGCTTACAAAATAAAAACTATGCTAAAATGTCTCTTCATTTTCGTTGACCAAAACGAGACGAAACGAAATGTTATAACATTTCGTCTCGTTATTATTATTATTTTGCAGTATTTCTGTTTCCTGTGTCTCACTTCAGGGGCGCAGACGCAGGCGACGGCACTTCCTCAAGCCCCACTTGCGCCTCGCGGAATTATTTAGACCAGTGTTTCCCAACTGTCGAGTGCAGGGGTGCCGTGCAAAAAATCATTTTTTTAATATTTTTTAATTGCTAAACAATGTTCAAAAAAGCAGCTATTATATAATATCCATTTCTAATGCCGCCAGTAATGAAAGGGACCGATGGGCGGCCAGCCGGGGTTCGTCTTTATTTAAATTTATGTGTGTGTACTTCTAACATGTTTGGTTGGTAAAATAAATGTTGTAAATTCAAATCAGAGCGTCTTCCGTGTCTGGAATGGATGTATTCTTGAGTCTATAAGGTAACAATAATATAATAAGATAACCTTGTTTGAAATGGGTTTGGCTAAAAGAAAATTTTGGTTTTGTCTATACTACTAGGTACTTATACTATATTGACTGGGTTAAATAATATTGCATTTCTAAAAAGAGACAAATACAATTTTCATTGACTAAAACTAGACTAAATGTCATCAGTTTTCGTCGACTAAAACTAGACTAAAATGCTCAGACTTTTAGTCGACTAAAACTTGACTAGACTAAAAAGATTATGAACGTGACTAAAACTAATAAAAACTAAAATGTCAGTTTCACACAAAGACTAGACTAAAACTAAAATTAAAACAGGCCGCCAAGAACAACACTAGTGGTGGCACCTGTTGACTTGAATTTTATGAAACACCAAGGACCACGAGTTCAGTTAAAAATCATCTTTAGTGTTCTACTAAAGAAAGAAAGTAGCCTACATCTTGGTTGGCCGAAGGATGAGTAAACTGACAGCAAATGTTAATTTTTGGTTCTTTTTCAGTGTGTCAGGTTTATACTTGTAGCTGTAGTTGACAGTCGAAGTTCAAAATGTGTTATTTTGCAGTATTTTTTAAAAACAGTACACTGTACATATATCTTGGCTTAATCGCTTATTAATTTGTGCAGATCTGCTCCGAGTTTCTCAAAATTAGGAACGTCAACCTGAAGAACCAGAATTAAATTAATCAACAATCTCACCTTCCATTCAGATGTCATTCTGCTTCTAGTTCCAGGTTTTGAATATAGGCTATCAATTATAATTGTAGTTAATTGTATGGGATAGAATGGTTTAGAGTAGATGTAAATATATGTCACTTGTTAGCAGTCAGCCTTTGGAACTTTTTTGTCTTCAGGTAGAACAATCTGATGAACCAGATGTTGATGATGTGTCACTTCGTTTCCTCTCCATTAGTAACAATTCAACAGTTGCCACGTTCTTCTGCTCAGAGAAGACTGAAGTTGTACTTTGGGTAACAGTTAACGATTTCCCCTCATTGGCTCATGCATTTGTCATGCTTTTTGGACTAACGTACACCTTGGATCCAAGTTCCCTAAAAGAGTTGGACAATACATTTGCCTTTACCCACAAATTCTTGATGGGTCTGGAGGAAGGGAAGCTGAGACCCAGAGTGTTGAGTCTTAAAAATTAACTTTTGACATTAGAGTTTCCTCAGTGTTTGAACAAAGCTTACAAAGGTACTGTTTTATTTGACATTTCATTAAAAATTTCACTTCTGTCACTTTTAGTACATTATTTCTTTCTTTTTTACAATATTTGTCTAGTATTTAATTTGCAGAACATTTTCTCAGTTGATTTTCTGGAATGGTATAAGTTCCATATACAGTACTAGGGATGCGCCGATCCGATATTCATATCGGGTATCGGCTCCGATAGTGCCATTTTTCTCGGATCGGGTATCGGGCAGAGAGAACCGATCCAAATCCGATAATTGTTTAAAAAAAAATTTTTTTTTTAGATTGTGCGAATTATTTTGTGTTACTTCTGAAGCCATACGATAGCTTAATGTGAGCTACATATGAATATTTAAGTCCTTAAATTAAAGTTCACACAAACTCTTTCCTCCGCTGTGGCTGTCAGTCAGACAGTTTTTTAATGTGCACAGTAACTGAAATTTAAAACTGTTAAAAGAAAGGCTCAATGACTGTTGCACAGATATAATACACTACGCATCAATTTCTCTTCACTTTGTGCTTTGCAGTTTTTAACACGAAGCGCTTAATGTGTGCACATTGTAAGCGCTTCGTGCTCATAGACTGTCAACCCTCTACATTGCGAGTTAAATCACTCGCATATGCGACTAAATCTTCACTCTGGGCGACTAAATGATGTCCAATATTAGCCACTGGCTAATCAGTTCTCAGATTTTACTCGCCAGTGTGTGAGTTGGAGGCTCTGCATTGTATTTGTTTTGTCCTATCGTATCTATCATATGTTGTTGCCTTATTAAAAAATATGCTATACATTTAAAATAAATGTATTTTAATTTTATAGTATATACTTATATATAAATGCATTCATGAATGTTTTTAATGAATGGATTTTATAATAATACAAATAGCAATGTGTAACATTTTACCATATTTAGCACTTTTATTTGTTCTTCACTAAATGTTTGGATTTCTAAAATTATTGTGCACTGATTTTTCTAGAATAACTTTTGCTGCCGAATTATCCACTAACCTAGTTTATGATACATTTTTGTCATAGATTATAAATATACATAGGCCTATATTTTTTCATATTTGTTTATTTTCTTTTTCTTTATAATGAAGTAGTCTGTATCTAGTAGATTGTGAAAGAATGATTATCAGTTCCACACACAGAGATATATATAAATTCTACATTTATTTAAATGAGGGAAAAAACTTAACTGGTATCGGATCGGTATCGGCCAATACTGAACCCTAGGTATCGGAATCGGTATCGGAAGCGAAAAAGGCGGATCGGAGCATCCCTATACAGTACCATAGAAATGACTGTTTTAAAAAAAACAACAACATTGCTCTATTTTGAAATTTCTCTTATATTTTATTCTAGTATTAATTTTATATTTCTAAAGTTACTATTTGATGTGAATTTTGGAAGTGTTCCTATTTTAGGGAAGTGTTTACAGCTAGGTGATATCCAGATATCCATACTGTCCACTCCTAAAAGTGACAGTTATTATCTCCGCTCATTTCTCAAGGGCCTTGCACTGTTTTGGAGAATGTATTTCCATTTGACAATTTAATGTTGATGTTTTTGTTAATGATTTGTGGTTACTTAATAAAATAGTAATTTGCATTTAAATGGTCTTCTAACCCATTTTTCTTATTTTATTTCCATTTTAGTTAGTGTATAGTTATTTATTAAAACTGTTTTTACGAAGGTAAACTTAATTGTAATGTAGCAAAAATGTTTAAGTCATCTTTATTTAATTTTTATTGGTTCTGTGAACTTAAAAACTCCTTGTAAAATGAACTTGATCAATAATGTTGTAGTAACTTGTAAGATTAAGTTAATATCAGTTAAAATTACTTGGTAACATTTACTTAAAAAAATTATGTTTCTTTAACTTATAAAATGTAATTTAGTTAATATAACTTAATTTCGATGTAATCAGTTTCAACTATTTTTTTTAGTTATATTAACCAACTTATCTGGTTTTACAGTGTAGGAATGGCTGAAGACACACATGCATAACATTAAGACGCGACAAAGACAGACTGGGGTTTAAATACATGGGGTAACGAGGGTAATTGCAAAGACACACCTGAACCAGATCATACAATCAACGAGAAACAGAGCACATGGGGATGAAAACATAGGCAGATGGTCCAGGGGCTGGACAGTATTTACCTCAGACTTGTTAGCAGCTTAATGTCCTTATATCTTATATACAGTTTCATATCCTTTATATCTTTAAGCATACAATGCTTTAATAGTACAATAATATAAGTGCAATAAATTAAACTGTGCAATACTCAGATCTCTATTTTCTACTGTATACAGTAGTTTCATAAGTGGAGCATATGTACAAGTAATCTTAATTTTTACCATTTCACATCTAGCCTAGAATATAGAATAGTGATCCATAGGGGAATCTGTGGCTTCAGCAGACTGGTTGTATTTTTGCAAGCTTCTGACAAGAGGGCTGGCACAGTGTTTAACCAGTTTGTACAAGCCACAGCTAGGTATGGGGTTCCATCTAGAGTTAGATGTGACCCCAGAGGAGAAAACAATACCATTTGTTTGTTTGTTTATGAACATTTATCGTGGAAGTCCCATCCGTAGTAGAAGTGTCCACAACCAGAGGATCAAGATACTTTGGGGAGATCTTTGGCGCGGTATGACTGGTGTGTACCACCAGTTTTTCTCCTTTCTTGAGAGTGATGGAGTCATTGACTGTACCAATGAGCTACACATCTGTCAATCATGGATTGCGCACTGCTGGTCACCACACACCAAATAAGATGTTTGTCAAAGGATGTCTTTAGAGGCAATCATCATCACTCACTGCCATGACATTTTTGGACCCAGCCCTGCTCAAGATGGTGCAATTCCTGCTGTGGATTTGTAGGAAGTTGTAACAGTTCCTGCAAACCAATTCAGTCCAACCGAGGCACATATGCAACAACTGCAGGATGTGGACGTTTTTTCAGGACCTGTCAGAAATCCGGCTATTGATGCACTGCAAACTGTAATTAATATTCTGCAACAGTAGCTTCTTGTCGATTGGTTCCATTGCAATGTGAAAATAAAACTATATATATTTTTGGTGCAAATTTTAAGGTGAAATTTTTGGTGAAGAAATAATAACATAAGCCTTATAACATAGACATTATTTATTTTTATAGACAGTATTTATATTTGAAACCTGGTAAAATATATCGCATTTGTGGAAAATAAATTAGATAATAGATATCATTTATTGAACCCAGGGTGTAAATTTGGTCATGCTACCATTGCTCACATATAAAAAATAAATAAAAGCATATGTGAAATCTTAATATTACTTGTACATATACTCTACCTATGAAACTATACAGTAGAAAATATAGATCTGAGTATTGCACGGTTTAATTTATTGCACTTATATTATTGTACTATTAAAGCATTGTATGTTTAAAGATATAAAGGATATGAAGCTATATATAAGATATAAGGACATTAAGCTGCTGACTAGTCTGAGGTAAGTACAATCTGAAACAACTTCAGTCAGAGTAATATCTTGTCTCTTTAGTAACCACTGATTTCAATTTGGAACCCATTTAAAACACTGAACTTGTAAGATCATAACAGGACTTAAAGGGATAGTTCACCCAAATTTTTTTCGATAGTTTGATAGTTTCACCCTCATGTTGTTCTGAACTTCTATGAGTTTATTTCTTGTGTGGAACATAAAAGACAATATTTTGAAGAATGTTAAAAAATAGAAAAAAAAAATACTAAATTAGTTTGGTTACCAACATTCTTCAATAACAAAAAAAAAAGGAAATAGGAGGATCTTTAATGGTGGTAGCAGTAGAATACTTCTGTTGTCCTGACCCGAGTACAAGCTCTCATTCTAATCCTGAAAGTCTTAAATACTTAGTCTTATGGCGCTTTTCCACTGCATGGTAAGGCACGGTACAGCTTGGTACGGTTCACTTTAGGGTTTTTTTTCCACTGGGTACAGTACTTTTTTTTTTAATACCACCTCGGTTGAGGTTCCAAGCGAACCGTTCCGTTACCAAAACGTGACGTGTAAACTCTGCTGATCACGGATTGGCCGGAGAGCCAATTTAAATCACCACAGCCAGCGAAGGATCGAACGCAATGGTTTTGAACAAACGCACCTTTTTTTAGCAACCAAAAAGTGGTTGTTTCGTGGTCTGTTGAGGAAGTACAGACATTCCTCCGTTGATAGCAGAGGAGCGGATCCAGCGAGAGCTTGATGGGGCGACGTGGAATGAAAAAGTTTTTTAGTGAATGAGTCGCGGCAGCAGATGCGGCGCAATTATAACGACATGTGAATAATTCTGGCCATTCTAAAGCGATACTAAACTGCAGTGGAAAAGCCAAGCTGTGCTGAGTCGTACCATGCAGTGGAAAAGCGCCATTATAACATCACCTGTGTACCTAATTACTGTTTGTCTGATGAGTGCATAATCGCTGAACAAAAAGAGGTTTCAATAAGTGCCACCTGCTGGCGATATCTGTTAAATGTAAACGCAAACCGAGCACACAGTGGAAAAGCGCCATTATAACATCACCTGTGTACCTAATTACTGTTTGTCTGATGAGTGCATAATCGCTGAACAAAAAGAGGTTTCAATAAGTGCCACCTGCTGGCGATATCTGTTAAATGTAAGCACAATAAAAGCTGTTGATTACAAAGATATTGATTGTTTATCAAAGACAAATATTGATTGCAATGGTCTGTATCTTAAACCTGCATTGATTGCTTACCTCCATTGTAACTGATTTCCCCAGACAAATGTTAATGCTTAGATGTTAACTTAAGTTGGATCACCGATAAAGCTAGAATGCCCACTAATGTGTTTATTTACAAAAAGGCATGAGTGGAGAAAAACGAGGCAATTTAATTTATCAAATTTTTCATAAAACTGCAATTTAATTATATTATTTCTACAGGTTATACAAAAAAAAAGAAGGAAAAGAAAAAAAAATAATAATTAGGCTGAATAAGCTGATCTATTGCATGTTAAATGGTGGTTGCCTAGTCCAGTGTTTCCCAACCTTTTTTTAGTCGCGGCACCCTTTGGAAATTTTAACAAACTTGTGGCACCCTACCAAATTAATTGTCACAATATTTGAATTTCTAACTTCGATATGATCATTTGAAAAGTATAGATATTCGGTACAACAGGGAAGAACTGCAGAATATAATATCATACAGATATTTTTAATATCATTAAAAAATTTTGTCCATCAATGGTGGAAATCAGTAGGGTAATTTCTAATAAAGAGACCAATTTATATGACGGATTTTAATGTAGGCTTTTATACA